TTATTAAATTATGATCTATAATATGTTCTCTAATTCCAATAACGATCTTCCCATTACCGTGTCCGTATGAATTCCTAAATTGCTAGTTTATATCATTTCTCTTCACTATTTATAATTATTCTACCTAAATATATGTAAATTCTGAAATCACTTCAAAAATTAATTCATCCTTTGGTCTTTAAAGTTATTTGATTTAAAATTCTAGTTTAAAACGCTTTTCACTTACTTAATGTATACTTCCTGTTTCAGGAGCAACAAGTCATGTGTTCGTTTCGAGAGACCACATGTTAATACATTGCAACATGAGAAAATGTAAGTTTATTTATTTTTTATTTATGCGAATTAAAAATTACGATTTTCGTCTTTTTTCACTTTAATATTGTTCTAATATTTAATAACAACAAATCATTACAAACTGTTATTAAGAAATTTTTTGTGTTATTACGTTAAAAGATGTTTACATTGTTTTACGTAGAACAATATTTTTACAGAATGTTTTGTAGAGTTAATTATGAAAACAAACGAACATCCCTTTCTTTGTGAAACTGTCGAAGAAAAATTTCGTTGGCTTAGGTATCTAGAGCATAAAAAATGCCATACGAATAAAAGCAGTGTCACGAAATAACAATTTATTTAAATATGCATATAGAATTGTTCTTATGACGGTCATGTTAGTTTTGCGCGTATATTTACATAGATATAATCTTATGCATGGAATTCTTGCTTTAATAGAATACGGCCATAACCATAAGAAGGTAGACGTAATTAAATAACATAATAACAATGCAAGACAGGAAGCCATTTAGTCTACTAACCTTAAAAAATAGTTCTTTATATTATATACAAATTGTCCGCTCAATTTAAAAATATTTGCGAAAAAAAAAACAAAATGAATGATGACATCGACTTTTGAAAATGTGTAGAAAGATAATATTTAATATAATCATAATTTCTTCTTACAAAAGTAGATATTTTTTAAAGGATTTAGAGTCATTTTTCGTTTATATTGGAGCCCATAATAAATCATGCCCAAATATTTTTCAAGATATTATACTCAAAAATTTAAAAAATATATATTTAATTCAAATTCCTCGCAATTATCCATTTAAAATGACACCCCACATGACCCATGGATAATTTTCAAGGACCCCGTCCCCTTCCATATTCTTTAAGTAAGGTAATTCATGGAAAATATTATTTATCGACCTGCAAACTTTCTGCATTGAACAGTGATTTTGTAAGGTTTCCTTCTTAGGGGCCTTCATAAACCTAATTTATGCTTAACTGTCTTTCGTTTGCTTTGATTTATACAGTTAAAGCAAAATTTTTCCCGAACATAGAAATTAAACGTTTCTTTAACAACATTTTTTCTTTTCATATCAACTTTGATAAGTGTGTGAAATATGAAAATACTATCTGCTACTCTGAAAACTGAATTCTCACAATATTCTGACTTGCACTACCCCCCTCCTTCCCTTTAAGGCTTTAAATTGCATTTATGGTTCTTATTACTTTATAGCTTATTTTAAAAGATGGGGCTGATGTCCCCCACCCCCTTTGGTGATTGCATATATTGTAAAAAAAAGATAGATATCCCTATGTTCGGTTCTCAATTTGCTTGTACTGTACCTATAGGAGGATTATTCCTAAATTTTGTTAATTAAAATTTTTTAAACTGTGCCTATTATAAATACTTCTACTCCGTTCGTATTAACGTAAAATAATACATAGTACTAACAAGTAAAAAGTTAACTGGACATTCAATGTGATAAACAAAAAACATTTTATTACAATCTAGACTTTATAATAGTTTAAAATGTTAGCGCTTAAAAACATAATTAAGTATGACATGATGTCTTTCACAGTTAACCAACTTTTTAAACAAAAACATGTACTTATTTTACGGATTAAGTACAAAATTAAACACAGATTTAGCTGTTGTCGTTAAAAACTTAAACAATTTCACGTATACACTTGACAAAGACATTGTGCTATTTTCATAATTTAATTTTACAATTTTCTTTTTTGTGCACGCCATCCGCAATTTTCCTTTTTGTGAACCCCAGAAGTTCTAGTTACGTTTTCATATTTGCTGTATGCATAAAAGCAAGTAGAATTTAATCAGGCACGGGGTACATCTGTCACACATAAAAGAAGAAAAGATAATAAAGAGAAAATGGACTGAAGGTACTTGCGACCTTGGTCTTTCATTTCTTTCAAGATCTAGGTCGAAGAAATGACAGTAGGTCGCATACTTTTCGATTTCTAAACGCCACAACGTCATCGAGATCTTTCTTTAAACGTCTAATTTGTAAATCTTTACTGATCCTGAGGATACAATATACTAATACTAATAAGTACTTTATGCAAACTTTCGATTTTTTGTTGATATCAAGAACGATTTCTAAAAATAACTCTGGCGATATTTTGATTTAATTAAACTAAGTGTCTTAAATATATGGTCAACAAGTTAATGAACTTGAACTTGTTTTCTAGGAAAAATCTCATCAAAAATTCGATAATCTTTTATACAATTAGGTAACTAGGTATAATATTCCTTAAAAGAAAAATTACCAAATTACAATAAATTGTATAAAATATTTATCAATATTTATCAAGAAAAGTTAATGTATAAACAAATAATTACACCCAAAGTGTTAAGATATACACAAAATAAAACAAAACAAATTAGATCGTGTTTTATAGTTATATTTCCCATTTCCCAACGTTTTTAAATTGTGGTATTTCAATTATTAAATTATGAATCCACAAGTCTGAGAAAGTTACTGTCACTGCTTATTTGTACGTAAACAGTACATGTTAATTACTTATCATAAAGGAACTATGTTTTTATTTAATTATTGACCAGCTTAAAAGCCGGTCCCCAAAAAATTATTTATAAACTCATTTGAGTTGTCCTCCTCCACGGAAATCTTTAGTAAAAGGCGAAAGATTTATTCGGCCTGAAGGAAGACCAGAGTGCAGAAGTGAGTTGCGAGTATAAGCTCCTCTGTATATGCTTTTACAAAGCATATCCAAATGCCACCACGGCACCATCTGTTGTACATCTTAACAAACTGTTTAAAAAAAATATTTTTAAAAGTTGTGAATATTAAAACTTGAAAATTTTAACGTAACATTCAGATAGATATTATCAAATTATTTTTCTCCAAAACACTGTCATAATGTGTATGAAGCTCATAAAATCAATTTTTATTTTCAAATCTCGAAATGTTTCTCCAAACATAGAATCATTAGGAGAAATAGTACAAATTTTAATTTCTATTGATTGTATATTCGTGGTATAAATTTTTCAAGTTGCTTTAATCATAAGGAATTCTTTATTGTGTTTCCGTTTCCGTATTTGGAAAGGTTTGTTACATTGTTATGGGTAGGGTTATTATTATTATTTTTATTTTTATTATTTTTTTTATTGTTAGTGTCGGTAGTAGGGCAGTTTTGTTGT